CACGATTTTATGTGTTGCCCAAATTACATAAAAGTGTAGTTCCCCTCAAGCGAATTATGGAAATGTGCAACTCTCCAAAGCATGCGGTAGCCAAATGGTTTCCTCGTCTTCTGGAACCGATGAAAGTGACGTTGGCTCAACATAGCCTTAAGGATACAACCGGTCGCATTGAGGTCTTGAGTGGCTTAAACATCAACGATCGCTACATGTTCTCGTGAGATAGCACTGTCTGTTCACGAATGTTCCGATCGATGGGACAATAGATTATTTGTGTACCTAAACCGAAGGTAATGTAGACATACCGACAGATGACCTAAGACAATTGTTCTTCTGCACTCACAATGTGCAATTCAAGTTAAATGAGAAAATCTATCGCCAGAAAGATGGGGTCCCTATTAGGGCTCATGTTTGCCGATGTTTTCATGTCTAAAGTAAAAACGGTCAGTTAAAAATACATATCGAACAATGCGTAATGTACAAAAGTTATACAGACGAAATTTTCTGCGCGGTCGATTCTATAACAGAGTGCCAACATATGCTAGGACATTTAAATACTGCTCATCGGAATTTGAAATTCACGATCGAAAATGGAGCAAACAATCAACTAGCATATTTAGATGTTTGTTGAACTCGTTGTGATGACGGGCCCATCAGGCGGTCAGCACTTGGAATGGGTAGTACATCCATTTTCGTAGCTTTGTATCACTGAGTTTGAAGAAGAATCTCATAATGTGTTTCGTCAACGGAGCTAGAAGAATCTGCGCGAAAAACAGGCTGGTTTAAATACACCAAAATGCGCGGAATACTGTCATCTAGAATGGATACCCGAGTTCTTAGTGGAATTTGGGATACAACGGCAAGAGGCATTTCCCAAGAGGGTAATTGCTGAGTAGAAGTTTGTATACATTTCTTGATCGTTTAAAGGCGAGACCTTGGCAGAGATTGTGCACAGAACGTTGTCAAATGTCATCACCAAAGCTTTCTAGGCTGAGACAAATTCGATCAACATCTAGCCCGTTGGTGGATCTACGGTTGAAGGATAGAGTGCCCGATTCCGCTGTCTCTTCCTGTATGTACTCTTTCACTTGCTCCTGTGGAATAAAGTATGTTGGACGGACGACCAGGCGTCTGTCCGAGCGACTCCGTGTGCATCACCCTGCGTGGTTGCGAAATGGAGCAACAACTTGTGATTGACTTACAATCACAAGGGCGGTCGTGTCGCGAGTTGTCGACACTTATCACATTGGAAGTGTGACCGAAGCGTTCCGATTCCCTGTACAGAGTTAAAACGGGACTGTCTAGACACGTGCGGTTTCGCATTCTAGCTATAACGGAGGCAGTTTCCATCCGTTTCCACAACCCCTATCTGTGCGCTCAGCAACAATTTGTGCAAGCACTCAAGTTACCTTGGCCGGATTACCGACAATGACTTGTCATAAAACATCAAAGCAAATGGTAATTTTCGACCAATTATGAAACAAACAGCGGAATGCTTTAATTACCTTTCCTTGTTTCCTTGTGTAACCAGTCACATTTATCCTTTTGTAATGGCATAAATAAGACGAACTAAAAGCGAGCTTGTTTGCCAATTTGTGTTCTCATTCTGCGACTGTTTAAACACAGTATAAACAATATTGAAACTATGAAGAACCTTGCATTTATTTATTGCGACTTCATAATATTGAGTCTCATCATCCCGGACAGCCGCCTAATTCGGTAAGCTATTGGGATGAGCCTTGGTGAGTTAGATGCGTGCATATATGTGACATGGTCTAAACCAACTAATTGTGTTCAGATGCGCTTGCATGGTGAGCTCATTTTCGTTTTCATCTGGCTTCATGAATAAGTCTAAAGTATTTTCCAACGCAGGACGTTGAATCGATAAGACGTTAGTGTTAAAAAGAATAATTAACTTATCTGGCGAATCCATCTGGAAATTGGCCACATTAAACATGTGATTTCTTCAACGAATCATGGAAATTTGAGCAAATTCGACGACTAACGAAATCACTGAATGAAACCCTTTTGACCAGTGCAGTGTGGAAGACTACAGGTCAGGTTTGATTTTGGAAGGGGAAATTTTTCGTTCCACCCATTTCGGCTTCTTAACCGTAATGGTCCAACCAATACTCTGTGCGCAACTCTGTGTACTGACTTTTGAGTCATTTTAGTTTATGGTTCCGTCAATATGCACTTTTTCAGAATTAAATTAGTGTTTGAGTGCTTTACAAATTACAGTTAGAAAAGTGAATGTTATTGCACTCCCCTGATATAACCGAAAGAAATCCGCCGAAAATCGTTTCAGATAAGCTTACGGTGGATAGTTTGAGATTTAAACGCTGGTCCAAGTTGGACCATTTCCATAGTCAAGCCAAAGTACACGGGCATCTTTTGTCTTTCATCTGTGGACTCAGCCTTCTCAGATCAAGCACTCCAGCAGGGAGCGAACACAACCTGGTCCCCATGAATTATCATACGCAAAGGTGCTTTCAATTACTAGCAGGCGTTATCATGCAGTAAAAAATGACATCATTTTTATTGTGTTCTAGCTATCTAAAGATTTGTTGACTTCGATTGCTTGTTTGGTGACAGAAAACGGCGCAGAGGTCCTTGCATTTAGATAGCAAACAAGTATCTGAAGTTGATTTAAGAAGTCCATCTGGGAATATACGTTTACCGTACCAAAAAGAGGGACTGATACCAGCAGGGTTTTCAAGACGGATTTCAGTGATAGTACCCAACAAGTTGCGTTTTGGTCACTTCAAGTGCTGGCGGATTTTAGTGCCAGAATAAATCCAAAAATAAATCCAAAATGTTAATTTAACGAGCAGCGTAATTTTGTGGGGAGCTTTCTTCAAGAACACCTAAAGACTGTATACCAAATTACTTTTATATGAAATTCTCCACTGATAAGGTTTTTAATACAAGTTCCCACATTGAATTGAGGGAGAGTTAATTTTTCATTTCAGCTGAACTTTATATCGGTTTGTGAATCTATACTGAGTTCAGATTCATAACTGTTCACTATGAGGTAATTTTCAAACAGTCAAACGGAAGATAGCACAGTCTACTTGCAAATGACAACTTCCAAATGGCGACTATGAAACAGGAAGTCCGATGCGGAGAGATGCTAATTTCAGCTGGCTTATGCACGTTCTTTTTTTTGTGTATTTCCAAACGTGAGAAGATCCAGCTGGATTATTAAAAAGAACATTTAACCATTGTCTACAGTAAAGTGCAGGCCATAGGGTAACAAAACAAATAAATATCTTCAGCAGCTGTATTAAATGAGTGTCAGTATAAACGGATTATGACGTACAGAACATGCGTAGAGTTTATATTAAACTTATCGTTGTATACTTGCTGACAGCCTGGTATAAATTGGTCACGAACTTAATTTCTAATTCACGATGGATACATGTCTGTCACTTCTGTCAAATGACCCGACAGAATCAGTTTTCAAAGTTTTAAACACCCTAGAGCAGTTATGTATCATTTTCAAATCCGACGGAGCCAAAATTTAGCCATTCTGAACTGTGAAAAATCCTGAAATATTATTGATTTCGAGATACTCAGTATCAAAATCTTGCCATCATTTACCTGTTATCATTATTGCTTTACAAGAATTCTTATTTTTGAGATCCTGCATGTAGTGACCGAACTGAAACCCCATGAAACTCTTTGTCCATGATCATTCATCATGGGGATAACCATATCCGAAGTAGCATAATCAAAGGAAATTCTGGTTTGAATGCAAAACTATGAGAAACAAAAATCGATCACGTGAATAATTGTAAACGCTGTTTTCCGGTCACAAATTCAAATAGAGAAATCAGAAACTTGGGTGTGCACACTTCGTCCATAATCATAATTTCACTGCATTCCTCAGCCTTGGTGATCAGTCAAGATGAACGCTTTTCAAGGCACCTGGAGAATAAAATCAATATGATATGCGATGATGCTTCCCGTAGAAAGGTTCTCAATGTATTGTTTCTCTACTGTATACAAAGGCCCGTCCACAATCGAATTTAAGTCTATATTTATTCACAAGACGTTTTTATAAAATAATACAGCAGAAAGCACTTCTGCGGGCTGCTGTCCTCCTTTCTATGCAGCGCAGTGAACATCAACAGGCAAAGAGAAAGAAAATTCATCCTAACTGACATGCATTCGTTTATTTATTTTGTAGCCAGTTTGAAAAAATCGGGATAAATTCTTCAATCGATTCTTAAATCACGAGATCTTGTCAATGCGGTGCATCAACTCCACATATTTAGACAAACGAGAACGAAAGGTTAAATGGGCTAAATGCATTAAAAAGAAATCGAGAGGACCAATGAGGAGTGTATGCAAGTCGCATCGTGTTCGGCACACGCCGCACCTCAAATACATTTTGCGCCACACCTTTTTCATGATCAATCAAATGCAATGAAAACACGAATCAGTTCAGATCAAATCGTTTCTGTGTGAGTTTTCTTTCTCATTACACTTAGAAAAATCTCGTATTCGATCAAGATCGGTCTGGTTGTATTCGTTGCGAAGCAACATCGCTCTTTCTCTCCCATATCATGAGGGCAGAACGCTTCTGTGGGCACAAAGCTCTGTAGCACGTGTTTACCCCCAATTTGTCTTGTACTGCCAATCAGATCAGTGACAGCTCGGTTGACTTGTGGGCGTGACCCGCTTCGGTGGGGGAAAGGGAAGTGAACCAATCAGGAGGCAATAAACACAAACACGCGCGCACTCTCACAAGCATAGATGCTCGCACAAATAAGGCAGGATAAAAGCGCCCAACAATGCACCCGGATCTAATTCACAATTGCTCTGTTCGTTATTTTGAATGTGTTCAAAACCACTGTGCAACAAACTTTTGTTACAATGTGCTATGGATAAAACTGGGCATGAATAGACTTTGCACTCGAACAAAATTCACATTGATCTGTTCTAGGACCGGAGTGTTTTGATTGGAACGTTTCACTGTACCCGAAATTATAAGACGGATGCCGACGTTTCTATTCAAATATGCGATCTTACGTTGGTTCTGCATCATCCCTTGGCTTATTCTACTCTTCGTAGATGAGTTGATTCGTACAACACGCGGTCTACCAATTTATAATACAACTAATTTACGGGCTTCAGGAAATCCGTCTACCTATGTTCATAATGAAACTACTCCATCAATGGGGAACGCGGTGGCTACGATCTTGTGGCCACTGTTTGCAAGTGAAACAGCAAATGGCTCCACTACTACAACTCCACCATCGAACGCGACAGCTGCTTTGCCGACACCGGTTGGCTCCGATGTAGAGCATTGGAATGACACAGGAGGTGATCACACATCCGGTAGTGGGGACTCATTTGTAGAAGACCATGCAGGAGTCTGGGTTATTGGAGTAATGAGTGGAACATGTATATTGACCATCGCGTTTATTGTGCGAGCACTGTTCTCTCGTGCGGAGGCGTTCCGCGATCCTCAGGAGAACATGTTTGCTCAAGATGGAATGGACGATCAAATGGGTATTGGCTTTGGAGCAACAGCGGGTGGTCCATCCGGCACCGATTTTGGCTATCTCTAATACATTCCATTCTCCACTATCCCCATGTACAATTGCCAACCCAAACTAAACCTCTAATTGGGACATGAGAAAAACCGAGTACACATTGTTTTGTACTTGGTACTGATATTTCCTCTAGTCGGAGCCGTTCAAACCACTTTCCTCAATCCCTTCATTCTGTGATATATCACTGAAATTAAGAATATGCAAAATACGACCAAAACTGTTAAACCGATTCCGAATTACAAAGTGCGCCCGAAAGTACAGTTCCGAACACGGATGGATGCTGTAAAATGAAAACGCATTTGCTGACATGGATATTCTCGCACCAAAACCGTACTGGTCTTCCTCGAGTGGCAATCACAGAGAACCATCATCATAACGCCCTCTCACACCATGTATATTTCACTTCCGTGATCAGATTATATACGATATTTTGTACAGTACCGAATGTGATGATTTTGTGATGGAAATTGTTCTGTATTGCTGATCTTACTACGACCACTCTGAATACAGCCTGGATACCATTCCCAACTGGCCAAACTTAGCCATCTCGTAAATCCCACGTAATCTGAAATTTATCCAATGTCGGCGAATTCAAGAGGCAAAAGCTCACAACTTGTTCACTTCTTCAGTCTCACACTGTCCCTCATTTTTATCCATTTGCTTTGACTGTGTATGCGTGCGTGTTTTATCTGTCAGACTATTTTCGGAACATAAAATCTTCAGTGAGAATATCCTTCGTTCAGCCTCACAGAGAAGCTTGAGTAAGTTCCACGTGCCACTGGGTTCCGAAGCAGAAATGAGGAGTTTTATAGGGCACAAAGTGTCTGTATGCATAAAGGGATTTTACTCTTTTTTCACACAAATCTGTTATTCTGGCATGATTAATGTTCTCAATTCCATCAAATGTTTTCAGAACGTACGGTGATTGTGCAAGAACCAAAACTAACCTGTATTGTACAATATAATAACTCGTTGTTGATTTTAAGTTTCCATAAAGAAAAATCGAGGTGGTTGCGTTTTGAATGAAATAGTACAATACTCTAACCGACAATAACATCAGAGAAACAGAGGAGTGGATCTCAACCAGTGCCTAGTCACGGTACTGTCTGAAGCCCTTTTCATATCCGTTGCCTCAAATAATCACTTTGAAAATACTGCAATCCTCGGGTATGAATACTTCAACCAAATACACAGCAGTGTGTTGGATTAATGGGCTTCAACTAAATTACAATATTCAAATTAATGTCATTGCCTGGAATTAGCAGCTACCAAGGTATTAGGAGGTTTTCACCCTGGACTGCTCATAGGAAGACAGCCTGGTTCATTCGTTTGTTTCTTAAATTTCTCACTAGCATGTAAGGGCATTGATGAGAAAGTTCTAACATAACCCAAAGCAACGTGAGTTCCCAGATCTGACAAGCATATTTGAATCTGATTGGCATTGGCTAGGTCATGCTATCAACAAAGAAGTCCTACGAGGATTGTGGGAGGTTCTACTTACTGTCAGCACAAGTGATTAAAGTTGAGTGTTGAGTACAAGCACTGTCTGAAACACGATACATCTAAAGACATGAAGGACAAGAAGAACAGCGACGATCTCCAAAATGAAATACCAGTAGCACACATTATTTTCCTTTCTGAATTCCCAACCAACCACGTTTGGTGTCCAATCACTTGAACTGATGTATCCAGCTTAAGCGTGGATTAAACATTATTTCGCGAATGGAAGAAAAGCACTCGGAGTATGCATTTTAAAATGCACGAACATTGCATTCGGAAATTCCCATCGTAAATTGATTGACACCGTTAACAAAAAAGAATCAAACGAGCTCACTTATGTTTTACAATCAAAATAATGTAGCTAATTCGTTAGTGGACATATTAAACTATACCGTTGTTTCCTATCTCATCATGTTGAGGCAGCTTTCAAGCGGCTGCTTCAGATGTTCACAAGCAGGACTGCGTTTTGCAGTTTATCGTTATATAAACTGGTTAAAGGAATAACTGGTATGAAAATTGGAAGGAACCGCCTAAATACCGCCTTTGGCTTGGAGAATATGAAACAGCCAAATGGACCAATATGACCAATGACCGATTTAACTTTTCAAACTCCGCTAAATCTCATTTGGGTTTACATGTTGGTCAGTTTTCGTTCTGTTCTCTGTATATATCCAAACCATGTTAGCGGTACATAGTCTGTGAAATCGCGAAGGCAACGTAGTTTGGTTCTTTCTTCGTCATCTGTAACACCATTATTGGTTCTGATTGAATGTGCATCGTATATCCGTTGTGAAATTGTGATTGGCGTGACCAAATGGTTATGCCCCTACAGGGAAGAAATGTTTCCTCATCAGGTAAGCCGCTGTGCTGTGAGTTAATCGGTTCCACCAAAATTCAAACTCGTCTTAAGTGGGCACTTGAACATTTTCTGTTTTAAAAATTCCATGTCTCCAGGTAATCACAAAAAGATTGCCAGATCCTTAAAGAGCCCTTGAATTTAGGATAACTACCTGAATAAGAAGCCCATCACAGGAACACTCAATTCATGAGAATATCAGAGTGAGTGTCTAGGACAAAATTAATTGATGCAATCGCAAATAAATACAATTATATCAAAATACCTCACAATTAACCGATATTTAGGAAGCTTTCTCTAGGGAATAATTGCATTTTCATGAGCAAAGCACATGTTAAGGGGTATATGCAACTTTATAGCTGTTCTACCTATCTGTGATTCCCCCATCCCAGTCAACCGAAACGTCCTGCAATAAGCATGCATCAACAACGTTTGAATAATTGTAGCAGTTCCTTCGATAATCTGGGTTCAGCATCTCATATATCTGGTTAAAATCAATGCCATGTGGGATTTTAGAACTTCTGTCGATCAAACCAGAGTAATATCCTTAGTGTTGTATCAATTTTTGACAGTGGTTACTCGTCGGATCTCCGTAAAATGCATTTCAAAATCCATTACTCATAAGGAATGGTTTCGGTGTGGCATCTACATTTTGTACATAACTACCGCTGATATTGTTCTCGTGGAATAAGTGTGTTTGCATGGTAACCTTCGGTGTTATTATTCGACTTTTGATGCGATTTTGGTTACCCTTTAAATTAATTTGCATTGTTATCGGGTTTATCGGGTTATCGGGTTTTATATAACCTTAAATTACGTTTAGTGGTTACGCTGGTTCTAAATATGTTATACTTTTCTTCGCGGCAATGGAGTAGTGATTTTATGAAAAAATTTATTCCGGTTAAGCACGGAATCTTGTCATTCCTTTTCGAAAGGCCACCTGTCAAGCCTATGGAGTGCCAGTTAGAACAGTGACCTGTCGTAAGTGAGGGAACATTTTCGTGTGCTTACGTGCGTGGCATGCCACATGTTATATGAATATTGGATCAGCTTGACTGAGGTGCGTGCAACATGACA